CTGCAACATCGGAAGCAAAAAAGGCAGAAAAATGCAGAGTTGACATTTACAGCTTTTATCCGAGAAATTACTATAGTAAAATGGTAAAATATTTGATATTTTAAGCTGGGGCCCACTTTATCATTTTTGTTGCTCTAAAATCAAGAGGGGTATAAAAACTTGCAATTAGGGTTGTGATATGAACCAAGGAGCTCCCTTTGTCATGCCTCATGGACCGATTACAAGATCAAGAGCTCGGAAACTTCAACAAGCCTTTCTACTTCATGTCCAAGCGTTCGTGAACTCGACACGAGAATTAAAGGAAGATGTGCAAGATGTTGGAACAATTCAATTCAATTTGGTGCAAGTTATGCATTTTTAAGTGTTTTTAAGGCAAGTCAAAGTTCACTTGGTCAAGGTCAAAGTCAACTCCATCAAGACAAGTCAAAGTCAACTCATTCAATTCAAAAACCAAGTCAAACACTCACATCCCTCATTATGGACGGGATTGCACTTATTTTGGTTGGCTTTCCATGTTCTTAACCTTTTCATTTGCTTGTCTTTTCATTTCTTGTAAGTTATGTCTTTTCATTTACAAGTCTTTTCATTTCTTGTAAGTTACAAGTCTTTTCATTTGCTTAAGACTTTTCATATGGCTTGCTAGGATGGCTATATATAGCCTTGAGATGTCTTGTTGTAAACAGAATTTGAAGTTTAATGAAAAGTGAGTTTTCTTATTAGCTTGGTTGAGAGCTTTATCTCCCAATTCTTGTGCAATTTCTTGTGTCTTTAGAATTTGCATGTTAGGATCATTCAAGCGGTGTTGATCATACCTCTTGTGGAGTGATTCGAATCACGAGTTTAGAAACGAGTTTTCTCTACTCTTGATATTGATCATCAAGGTAATCTGTTCTAAAACTTTTCCTTGGGTTGATTCCATACTTGTTTTTGGGGTTTTTGGGATTGAGTTCTATGGGTCTTGTTCGTTAGCAAGGTTCTTAGATCCAACTCTCAAGAGTTTTTTAACATTTTGGTATCAGAGCATTAGGCTCTTTGATCGGATATATGTTTCCTTGCGTTTATCTCTTTGAATTCCTTATTCATTTGCTTATGTTCGATTAAATCTAAGCATATTAGCATTCTGTCTAAAATTACAAAAAAGAAAAAAGTATCAATTTCGTTCATCTTTTCCAACTTTCGTCTTCTGTATTCTTATAGATTTGGGTCTTATCTACAAATTTGTCTTCTTTGAAGACTTCTAATTCGACTTGCTTGATAGTGAAATTCTTGCAATTTGTTGTTTGATAAAAAAAAAAAAACTTGAACGTGAAAGCATTTATTGTTAACATTATTGTGCTTTTGCTGATCCATATCTTTTAAAAAAAAAAAAAGAGAAGAAGAAGAAGAAGAAAAGCATAGAATATCTCATTTGTCATTACTTCTTTGTGGTTACACTTTCTATTCATTTACTAGCCTTGCATTGAATTCTCATGCTAGTTTCATTTCTTTCTAGCTTCCATTATAAGTCTATCCATTATTATTATTATTATTTTTTCCTTAACTTGTTTCTTTGTTGTTATTCGGGTTACTCCTAAAATCACACTCTTGTTTGAGTTCTTATGTGTTGTCTAAACCACTTGACTAAAGTAAGCCACACCCTAAAGGTACTCCTAAACCCCCTACTCTTCTCACTTGACTTCTCCGATACTAACTTAAGCATCAGAATCCATATGGCCAAAGCCACACCGTTCTTATTGCTATTCTATTTTGCAGATTACATCAATCTCGTTCATACTTAGAAGATTGATGCAAATTTGACGAGATCTCAGGAGAACAAATTTCTGCATCAACACACACCTTCATACTTAATAACTCTACAGCTTGAGCACGACACAGACTTAAGAACTCCAGATTAAGAAACCCTACAACTTGAACACATATTAAACAACTCCAGACTAATTAACTCCTCAGATTTAACAATTCTAGGTTTAACAATTCCACACCATGGCTTGAACGCCCAAATTTCAAGATTTTAAATCATGCAAATGGTTTTGACTTTCTATTTACGTTTAGAGTCAAATTGATTCCAAATCATTGAAATTAAAATTTATTGTTTGAATGTTGACAAGAATATAAATAAAGTATAACATCAGTATAACATTTCTATAATTTTGTAGAAATTATTTTTATTTTAGTTTATTACTCCAAACAGAGAAAAACTCAATCCTTGATAGAATATACTTATTCAAATATAAACAGATAAAAGATCCAAACTACTATTATCAAAGTTGAAACAGAAAGAAAATAAAATACAAAACAAAATAGAAATCTAATTTGGAGTTTGGTAGAATGGTGATCCAAAAAGATGATGCAGTAGAAGAGAACCAAATTATTGTTATTAGAATAAAAGAAAACTATAGAACACTCAACAACGCAAAATATAAAACTAAGCCATCTGTGTAGATTGGTATGAAATATGTGCCGCTAAGGTATAAACATAAATTTTAAAATTAAACATCAATTTTTTCTCCTAAAAATAATAAGATGGAATTGGAATTTGTTACGTTTAACTTAAAAACGTGACAAATCCGTAAAAACAACTACTCTATTACAAGTTTAGTCGGGAACTTTCATGATTGTGTGTTACATATTCCTAAATTTTAAAAAGTGTCAAATAAGTTTCTTAATTTTTCGATTTTGTGTCTAATGATTCCATTGACTTTAAAGTATTTGATACGTTCGTGAATTTTCAATTTTGTGTCTAATGTATCATTGATTAATTGAATAATTTTTTTAAAATTACAGATTTATTACGCACAAAACCTAATTTTGTATCTAAAAGGACGTGGATTTTAAAATATAGGACTTACATAAAATTGAAAGTCTAATATATATATATTAGACAGTTTTAAAATTAAGGAATCCATTTTTTTAGTACAATACGTGGGGTGGAAATTACCGTTGACATTTTCCACCGTTTGCTTTACTTTGTCGTTGAATTGAAAATGTTTCTCCTCATTCTTCCTTTGATCTCGCTGTCCCTTCCTCGCAAATTCAATCACTAACTTTATCCTCTTCGTTTTTCAATTTTTCCCAAATTTCTTCAAGTATATCCTTTTTACCCTAAACTTTCCATTCATCCCATTAAAACTTAAATTTAAATATTTGTTACAATATTTAACAATAATAAATATAAATGTTACAATTTTTATCTTATGATAATTTTTTATTTGAAAAAGAAAAAAAAATATTTTTATGAAAAAATTATTTTTATGTATACTCAATAAAACTCACTGTATATCTGATATAAAATGAGTAGGATTTTAAAGAAAAATAAAACTAGAGTTTTATGGTTTGCTTTACCAAAATTGGTAAGTTTTGGTAGTGAGTTTCTTTTAAATTTTTATATTGTTTTTTTTGTTAAAATTAGTGGCTAAATTAATGAAGATTGATTAGGAAAAAAATTATAATACTTATCAATTTGATGAAAATAAGAATTTATAGTGAAAAATTGATACAAATTATTAAGTTTAGGATTAAAAATTGATTTTTTTTTTCATCTTTAATTACTACGATGATCCCGAGTTGAATGATAGTTGAGAGGCAAAGAACACTGAGTAAAAGATAAATATTTACCAAATGCTTCGATGAAAGAAAATTTCTAATATAATTTTATTTTAGTAAAACTAGTGAAGTAGAAGATTCAGACTCATGATATTTAAGTCCTCTCTTGGCCATTCTTGTGTGAATCTTTTGTATTATACTAGATAGATAATTTGTAGTACGGCGGTACATGTCATGTATTTTTACTAGAGTACTTCATTTAGTTACAATTTTTTTTTTGTTTTGTCTGGTACTTCTACAAAAATTAAAAAAGTAATTTTTTGTTTTGTTTTAAAATAACATTTTTAAACCTGAGCCAACCATTTACTGAATGGAAGGAACGGTTCTCCTACTTGCTTGTTAATGCACTATAACCAGAACGTTGCAATTTTTTGGTCTTTTAAACCTGTCTTTTTTCTCAAAAAAGAAAAAAAAATGCAATCCCACTCATTTATGATAGTATTTAAACTTCATGATTTTTTTTTTGACTTTTCCACGTTTAAAAAATATTATAAATAGCAAAACATTCATAAATATTTGTCTTTTCCCAAAAAAAAAAAAGTGATTTTGAATGTGATGAAGTCCCAATTTTTTACTTTATGTGATGTTTAAAAAATGTAATGAAAACCAAATATCAGGAAAAATTCCATTTTCCCCTGTCAAAAATACATATTTCATATTTTATGATGGTTTTTCCAAACCTTCTCGGCGCCAAAGAGTCGTTGGTTCTCCTCGACCCCTGCACAGTCCGATCTGAATTGACTTGGTCTCGACCCTAGATGCAGCATGAAGACCCACTCCGTCTAGATCTTACTAGGATTCGACTTCTATAAATAAGAGGGTGAGCCAAACCTAAACGTATGTCTAAATACCCTAATCTCTATACTTGAATAGTCCGATACTGACTTAAGCGTGCTATTATGTTTCACTGCTGTTAGTGTTATTCTGTTTTGGAGGCTTTGTCTTAATTTGGCAGATCCAACCAGAAAATTCAAATAAAACATGAAAGATCAAGTTTTAAATTAACAAAAAATCTAAAGTTAAAAAATAAAATGCAAATCCTTTAAAAAAGTTAAACTGAAAAAAAAATCTTAAATTAAAAAAAAAAACCTCAAATCAAATCTAGGATTGCAAAATGAACACAGCGAGAAAAAAGAATTAAAAGAAAAATACCTAATATGCAAATGTTTTTGAAAACTATAATACGTAGAACTAATTCAAAAAGAAATATAATATCTAAAAATAATTCAAAGTTAATTTAAAATAAAAAAAATAATATTAGAATGTTTTAAGTAAAAAAAAA